GGTGGATAAGAGATTGGCTGGATGGGCACACCCAGAGAGTTGTGGTCAATGGCTCAATGTCCAAATGGAGGCAGGTGATGAGTGGTGGTCCTCAGGGGTCAGAACTGGGACCAGTGCTGTTCAACATCTTTGCTGGAGACATGGACAGTGGGATTGAGTGTCTCCTCAGCAAGTTTGCTGATGATACCAAGTTGTGTGGTGTGGCTGACACCCTAGAGGGAAGGGACCATCCAGAGGGACCTGACAGGCTGGAGAGGTGGGCCAGTGCCAGCCTCATGAAGTTCAACAAGGCCAAGTGCAAGGTCCTGCACCTGAGTTGGTGCAACCCCAGGCACACGTACAGGCTGGGGGCAGAATGGCTGGAGAGCAGTCCTGAGAAGGACTTGGGGGGTGGCAGTAAATGAGAAGCTCAACATGAGCCACCAGTGTGTGCTGGAGCCCAGAGAGCCAATTGTGTCCTGGGCTGCATCCAAAGAAGTGTGGCCAGCAGGGCCAGGGAGGGGTTTCTGTCCCTCTACTCTGCTCTGGTGAGACCCCACCTGGAATACTGTGTGCAGTTCTGGGGCCCTCAGCACGAGAAAGACATGGAGCTGTTGGAGAGTGTCCAGGGAAGTGCCACCAAGATGATCAAAGGGCTGGAGCAGCTCTGCTGTGAAGACAGGCTGAGGGAGTTGGGACTATTCAGTATGGAGAAGAGGAGGCTCTGAGAAGACCTCATAGCAGCCTTCCAGTACCTGAAGGGGCTACAGGAAAGCTGGGGAGGGACTTTTCATCAGAGAAGATAGTGTGATAGAACAAGGGGTAATGGTTTTAAACTGAGAGAGGGGAGATTTACGTTAGATACTAGGAAGAAATTCTTCGCTATAAGGGTGGTGAGGAACTGGAATGGGTTTCCCAGGGAGGTTGTTGATGCCCCATCCCTGGGGGTTTTTAAGGCCAGGTTGGATGAGGTTTTGTGCAGCCTGACCTAGTGGTTCCCTGCTCATGGCAGGGGGATTGGAACTTGATGATCTTCAAGCTCCCTTCCACCCTCTATGACTCTATGATCCTACCAGAGTATTTCATCTTCCGAGTTGGGCCAAAATGGTCCATTATCTTGGACCTTGTAGGCAGCAATTCCCAGGGAGACCTTTTGAGCTCTCCTGGATTGTGGTGGGCTGTGACCAGCCAATCCCCCAGGCTGGAACACCTCTCAGGTACCAGCTCCCAGAGCACTGTCTGCCAGCAGAGCTGTTGGACGGCCAGGGTGTCATCTCCTAGAATCAGTTATGGCCCATTGAGGACAGCTGGTGCGTTGTGACTCTTTACTCCATACTTGAGAGGGAATTTTTAGCTGTGTTCTAGCCTCTTCAAATTCCCTTCCCATGGCTTTAAATTTCATGACAAAATGATGTTTGCCTTCATGAGAGTGGATGTCTGTATCGCACTGAGCCCAAATATGTCTGTGTTTGTACCTGTAAGTTAGTTTTGGATGCCTTGCAGTAAGCTAGTGTGAATCTTGTAATTCTCAAATCTGTAGTTAAGTCACTGTTTTAAATCATAATGTATTCCACTGAATCACTTGGCAATCTTTAAATTGGTTAATTATTAAGTGCTGCTAAAATTCTGTCTTTTGATTAATACATTTTGAATCGCTGCTAAATGATCACCATGTCAAAACACCTCATCTGTGACAGCATGGCTGGATGCCCCAGACCACAATTATGTGTTACCGTTGTCTAGATGCAGGATCCACAACACTGACCAAGGTTAGCAAGAATTTAGTGGTAGCTGATAGGGTGAAGATACAACCTTCAGTTACCACAGTAAATTTTAATGCTGAAAGTCACCCCTCTGTGAGTAATGAGTGTGCTACCTGGTAACCCTCCCTAAATGCAGTGAACACAAGCTTAGCAGCATATGTCGAGTAGGACTGATTGAATAAATCATCACTAACCAATCATGTAGTTTCTTGCAGTTTCTCCTTTGGTGCCGTCTTGTATAGAAGATTCCACCTGTCTCTCAGCAGGAGTGCTGCCTGCTGTTCAGTGCCCAGTGTCTGCTCTGCAGGCCAGAGAGAAAAGACCAGTCTCCACTCAGAGTGATGACTGGCTCTTTGCACACCAGTTGAAGGACCAGATTTGGGACAACAGCAGTGCCAAACTGGGTGTTCTCAGCCCATCTATGTAGCTCCATGACGAAAAGCTAGCCACTGTAATGGGTTTATTTTATGCAGCTGGAACACATAAGCCACTGTGAGCTGCCCAAGCCCACTGCACACAACACACAGAGAATTATGTACCTTAGTAGAGGAAGTAAAAGAATCGTAAAAATCCATGAAGAATCCATGGAATTATGAAGACAGTCTGAGAGAGTTGGGCTAGTTCAGCCTGGAGAAGAAAAGGCTGCAGGGAGACCTCATAGCAGCCTTCCAGTATCTGAAGGGGCTACAGGAAGGCTGGGGAAGGGCTTTTTCGAAGGGCTTGTAGTTATAAGGGGGAACAGTTCAAACTGGAGGATGGAAGATTTAGGTTAAACATTAGGAAGCAATTATTTCCTGATGGTGGTGAGACAGTGGCACAGGATGCCCAGGGAAGTGTTGTTGGAAGTGTTCAGGGGCAGGTTCGATGGGGCTCTGAGCAACCTGGTCTAGTGGGAAGTGTCCCAACCCATGTTCAAGTTCCTTCCCATCCAAACCATTCTGTGATTCTATGATCCAAAGGACTGCTTTTTCACTGAGTCACAGGTTGCAGGAGGTGGACACGCATTGCTCTTGAAGGGAAAGGCACCTGGGAAAAGCAAATCTGCTGTTAGGTTTAGCTGTCCTGTGCAGGGCTTTACCTGTCAGCTGGAAAAGGCTGGAGGTGCTCTAAATCTAACATGGCAGGAAACACACAGAGCTAGCCAAGAGGAAACACTGTGACTGTGTGTGGTAGGTCCACCTTCATCCCACCCATCATCCAGAACTAGGGCACCTTCAGACTAGTGTGTGCAAACAAGATCTGCATCTGCCTGCAGACCTCTGGGTGCTTCCATCCCCACATACTGTGTCAGAGAAGACAGTGGGGCTCACTTGCTCATTTCAAAGTGCAGAGAGGTGCCTCTCACTGTGCTGCACTGCAACTGGAAGGAGGAAGTGGAAAATCGAGATTCAAATCCTTCTACGACCTGGAGGATGGGGAAGAAACTCAGAACTACATGTTTCACCTTCAGAAAACCTGCCTGTACCATCATGCTGGAGGACAAGCAGAGGGGGACACCACCATTGCCAGTTCTGTGGGAGGTACTGGCCAGGAACACAAGACTCATGCCAAGACTCAACAGCACATTGGGAGGAACACAGCCCAGGGTCCACAGCTGCAAAATCTGGGCAATAGGTTGTAAAGCTGTTGTCTTGGAATTCACCTCCCACTGACCCTCTGCAGAATGAGTGGAGCTAGGAGCTGCTGGCTGGGCATACTGAGCAGAGTGCCCAACATCTCATTACCAAGAGCAAGGACTGGTTCCGCAGCCAAAGCCATTCAGCAGAAATTTTCCCTGTGGAATTTGGGTCAAAGTCGTAGTGAGAGACCCAGAACACTATGGATGGCTTCTCATGGTCACAGAAATCCTGCATGGACCATGATCCTTACATGGGTGAAGTCTGCTGAAGCAGACTTCAGCAGAGTCAGAATAAAATACCAACCAGCAAGAAACACCACAAGACTAGACACAAACAGACACCCCAGATTTCCTGTGTGTCACTGAAAGAGATCAGGCTACACAGTTTTGTTTTTTGATAATTTTTTTTTTTTCATCTGTTTTGGAAAAAAATATACAAAAAAAGCCAGGGACATGAAAATGTGAAGTAAACATTCCAGTAAAAGTACAGACAGAGGCTCCATTCTTTAAAGGAGACACAGTAGTTATCACCATGCTAGAAGAATGAGATGCAGGAAAATCCTAGGAACAGTGAAAAGTCACATAATGAAGCCTTTGCCCCAGTTTTAGCCATCACAAATGGGCTCTTTTTTGTTCTTCCCTCCCACCCCCCATTGTCTTTTTAAATTTTTTTTTCTTTTTTTCCCCCTTAAACAAAGTTGTTAAGCTGTACAATAGCAGTTTTGATATAAATTCCGTTCGGCAGAATTTACAAAAACGCGGACTGCTACTACAGACTCTGTCAGTGTTTTGGTTCTTCTTGTCGAGCTGCCAAAGCCCCCCTGAGTGAAAACGACACTGTCGGGGGGGGGGCACAACTGGCTTGTCAGTTACCCCAGTCCGAATGCCAAGGGATGCTGCTCTGCTGGAGAAGTGTGGTCCCTTCCCTGCGAGGTGGGTGATGAAGTCGTGAGGCGCTGCAGGCGCAGCCCCGCTCCGCAGTGGTGGCTGTATATCCCCATAGTCGATTCCTGAAGCCAGGTTCCACTGGGAGCATCAGCTGGGCCTCGGGAGGTGACAACAGGAGGGTCGTGGTGGGATCTCAAGGGAGATGGTATAGTCAGCTCACATGCTATCAGCTACTACTAATAAATTTCCATGTCCAGCCTGTCTATATTGCAAACCGAGTACGCTGTTTTAGTCATTCTGTGATAACTAGCACAATCACCCACACCAGAACAACTAGGCTTTGACTCAGGGAGGTGCTTAAGGATGCAGATGGCCAACTGACATCCAGATGCCAAGGAATGCTTAAGCAGCTCACTGAGTCAAGGATGGGTATTTTTTTTTTCATCGTGGATGGTATCATCGGGTTAGATTCCTGATCACCACTATTTTAATCTGAGTTCTCTTAAATGCAGTTGCTTCAGATCAATGCTGAGCTCGCTCAGATCAGACTCTGAACCACTGGTAGAAGCACTTCTTATGGTAAGAAAAGGTAAAAGTGATTTTTTTTTTTTCTTTTCAAGATATATAAATTAAAAAATGAAAAAAAAATGTGTACAAATATCACATAACAACATCAACAATTCCATAGGTGTAGTTCCTCAGTGCACACTTTAAACAAGAAAATGTTGTGGGTTTTTTTTTTCCTTTTTCCATTTTGCTTTTAAATTCTGGCATAATAATATTAAAGCTGACAAAAAAATCAGGGCAAGCTACGTCACTTCCTCATACAAAAAAAGTACAAAACATTAGCCTCTAACTAGACATAACATAATACTGGTCATCACAGTTAGATATTTAGTAACTGTGTGTCTTAGAGTATCGTACTGGGGGGTAATAAAAAATAGCTTCTGTGGCCAATCTTCCACCTCAGGTTACTTCAGTCATGGAGGCAGAGTGATTCTGCAAAGAGGAAAAGACAACACATGAACATTTGTATAGGTTTTGGCATTTTACATTTGCCTAGGGTGTAAAACGAATGAGAAAATCCATCACTAGTGAACCTGTTGCCCATCTAATGTGGGGCTTTGAAATTACGAGACAAAAGTAATGTGACAGCTGCCTGTCCTGAGCTGATGGTCGAAATGGCTGAATTCCAGCCCTGCTCCTGGGCTGTCAGCACCCAGCACCAGGCTTGGAAAACACAGTGACACTTTTCCCATACTTGAACCTGGACTGGGTCCTGTCCAGGGGATGTGCCAGTACCAGCTCAGGCACTTCATGCAGTCACAGAACACACACAGTGGTTCTGCCCTCAGTCTTGAGCCCAGAAGAACATGGTCTGGCCTCATGTGATGGGTGCATGTTGATCCCATGCAGTTTGACACCAGGGGACATAACTGAGGTGGGCTCCTTATGCTGAAACACCAGCAGCCACAGACATGCCACAACACAGTAGCTCTCTTTAGGTGGAAACAGTGTTGATTCAGCCTTCTAGGAAGCAGGACTTCAGTGTCCTGAAGTTGTCCTTGGACCATACTGCATCTGCAGGGTTTGTGCAGCTGCAGGGCAAAGCAGGAGTGGGAACAGAAGCAGAAATCTGCACAGAGTGCCTGTGTCCTGCACTGCACTGCAGTGCCCATGTCCTAAGCACCAGTAATGAGCAGCCACTCCCAAAGTCTTGTCTGTAACAGCCTCAGACCACTTTTTCCACATCTACTCCTGCATGGGTCATTTAGAGGCTGATCCCTGAATCAGAGAAGATGACCTTGTTGATTTGAGAGGCCCTACCTGCACTTCACAGAAACAGATGACTAGAAAAAGCTGTTCTCACAATCTCTGTATATTCTCACCTGTCCAGCCCTTTTGTCATCCACAATGCAATGTGGGTACCTCACTGGCACTGAGTTACTGCACGGCAAGTCTGCCAGGGGAACAGTTAATGCACAGTGTTCTGCAGATTCAGCTGAAAGTCTGATCTTTGCCTAATCCAGATTGACTCTTCAGTTCAGCAAAATATTTCCAAGTGTTAGAAACAGTGCCTTTTCCATTTTTTTTTTAGAATTCCTATTTTCAGTTTATTTGTCAAAACACTTAACAGAAGTCACTATTGATCTACTGGGAGGTGTCCCTGCCCATGCAAAAGTGTTGGAACCAGATGATCTTTAAGGTCCCTTTCAACTCAAACCATTCCATGATTCTATGATTCTATGATCTTGTCACAAACTACATACACAGGAATGACATTTAATGTAGCAAGCACTATTTAAAGGACAAATTACATCAGGGCATTTCAGATAACTGATGAACTACAGAGTTTCTCCTTGTTTCCAGAAATTCTTGGCAGGTGACATTTGCCTGTCTATGTTGAAAGGACTGGGCGTGATTCAGTTACACCAACACAAGCCATTTGAAGTCAGTAGTTTAACAGAAACACCATCAATAACGATGATCCTGCTATGCTATTTTTTAAAAAACTTGAAAGAATGCTGTCAACTTCTCTTCTGATGTCTTGGAGATAAAAAACAGTATAAGATTTCCTTTTCTTATAGGAGACACTGTACAGTAATAAGGAAAAAAATCTTATCTCTATAATATTTTTCTGGACAGCATAGTTTATCCTCAGGATTACGACTGTTACAATAAATGCATCAGACATCCCAAAAGCATCCCAAAGTGTAATTAGACTGAATCATCTTTACTTTTCTCTCAGTTTTCTGCTCTTCTAAGCAAAAATTTATTAACACAAACAATATATATAGGCATGTAAAATCCTACTGCTTTAGCTTTTGGATGTGTGCTCAAAACAAGCTCCCTGGATGCAAATTCACTCTATTCAGTGGGCTTAATGGCAGGAGTAAAACCAGCTCCCTGTGTAGTTATGCATACCACCAGTTTTTACTCTGCCATAATAGAAAATGTCATTGGTGATGGTCTGGGTGAGAGGATTTGCAGTACCTGTGCACTCAGTGTCTCCAGAGGACTTTCCACTCTTGGAAAAGCCATTAGTGGCATTCCTCGAGGGTCTTCAGGCTTCGGTTTAGAAGGTGCTCCGTGAGTGCCCTTAAAGTTATGGACAACACATATCCCCTGTGTAATGCAGAGAAAAAATAATAAAGTCAGGTCAGCACGTTGTCTCCACAGGAAACACTTACAGGAATTGCCACCAGGGTCTCATAGGTGCCACTTTTTGTTGAGAACTTCACCCAGGTTTTTGTTCAAGGCATCATCTACCTCAGCCTTGGTCTGCTGCGCGTTTACTGGTGTGGCCGGGACCATCTGACCACCCTGGTAAATGGGTATACCTGGCCTCTGGTCTGAGGGGGTGAACCATTCTCAGCCCGTTTGTTTTTCATACAGCAGGCACTCCCACCTCTGCTTTACCATCGCAGAGCCACGGATACCCCGATGGTGCATTTTATTGGCTAAATATTCCCTCCAGACCCTGGCTGTTGTTTCCGAACCGCTCACTGGATGGAAGAATCTACCTCACACCTGGACAGCATCACGCTCTTTTAGCACCGTTCCTGCAGACTCCCAGCACGGCTGCTCCAGTGTTGATCCTACAAGCCTTTCCCTTGTGCAGAACTGAACTTGCTGCTTCCACACGGTGAAGCTCTCTGAGCTCCAGGAGACCCTTCCACCACTCTACAACTGGGCTTGTGGCGTGAGCAGGGAGGCAGAAGGTCTGCAGGGCAAAGTGTGGCTGCCACTGCAGGGAACAGGCACTGGCAGGACAGGGGG